CAACTAATTACATCTTTCTGCATAGACGATCTGCGTAGTCTTTTTCACTCGCCTTTGACCGTTTACACAAAAGGACAACAAGAACGCGTCTCTGGTTTAACTAAAAAAACTATACTCCTTATATATGATGTTGTGTGTGTAATATCTTATATTTAATACTAACGAATTATTATTATGTTTAATGGCTATCGAATATTATAATTATTTAATTATACGTTTAATTTTAAAAATTATATGAATGCTTAGGTGCATATCATTACATTATAAACCTCATTGATTTTATTAAAAACAGTCATTTGCTTAAAAAAAAATTATAATTTTCATTTTATTGATGTCTGGAATCTAAATTACTTAATACAAAATCAAAATCATATGTATTTTTATTGTTTTGACATGCCAATGGTTATCATTTTTGGTTTAGATCAAAAAATATTCCGTTCGTTGCGAGTTTTTTAACATAAAAAAATAAATATTTCCTCACGTCTAAAAAAAAAATACATATATATCTCATGGTTTAAAAATATGTTGTGCCCCCTCGGCCACAAAAGTCTGTACACGCCTATGGAACGCACAACATGTACGTATACATGAAGTATGTGTGCGCGAGATATTCTATAGTGCAGTAAATTTAAAACGCGGCAGCTGAGAGTAGATTAAGAATTCGACTGGTCGGGCGAGAGGGAAGGGGGTGGAAACGGGAAACCTTCGCTGCAGTAGCAGTTGTACAAAATCCCTATGAAATCACTTTCAAAGTGTACATGATACAAACACAACAGAAACGTGGCGTGTTCATTGTTCGCGCGTTTGACGTTGATCCGGTTTCTCGTGACTTTGTAGCTATTATGTACATTGAAACTTCTGCGGATCAAAAAAGGGTTGTGTCCGTACGATGTGTTCAGTACTCCTTGGCGAGGGATCGATTTCTCGGCATTCACGCCATCACAACAGTGGCGTGTGTTGATTCGGGTTCGTTCCATCACCTCTGAAAAAAAAAAGTAATAATAAAAACGAACGAGAAAATGTGTATAATAGTAAACAAGTATAATATACCAACAGGATCAAGACGCCTGCATTCAGGTAGCCGCATACACATACCTCCCAGAAATAATGGTTTTTGTTGGCAATAAAAGCAGTAATACTACGAAGGTGGGCCCGTACGTACATTCTATACGTACAACAACGGTACAACATATTTAAACATGCATACGTACATACGTCAATGCATTCATTTAATTATCAATAGAAAATAAAAAAGTAATATATATATATATATAAACATAATATATATAATATATATAATATAATGTTATATAATATATATATATATATATATATATATAACATATAAAAGTAGGATTTAACGCCGAAGAATTTTCGAACTAAACTCATAACATGTCGTTTAATTTATAACATCTATGACTAATAATATTAGGTAATAATTTAAACGCATCACACGTTCATTAGTTGTAAATACGTACAACGAAATTTTTTTTTCTTCTGAAGACTAAATTAATTCTTGTCCACGGTACTTTATGTATTGATTTTTTTATTAAACGTGTTTGTCTTTATTTTAATATGCAACACGTACCTACGTGCAGAGCCTGATTAAGAATTTTTTTGGCTCGGGACAAAAAGAAAAAGTTGGCCTATTTTTATGAAATGTAAATTAAATTGTAATTAGTAAATATAATAATCAGTCAATACTTAATAATAAACTACATGTTTGTATAATGCATCAATAACTTTATCGAAATCAATGTTCGCAGTGATGTCATTTTCAACGAATAAGATATCTAGGGCATCCAACATTTCTTGACCCAGAGATGATATTGATCTGTTTTTAATTGTTTTGAGATTAATTAAAAAATAAATAAATCAAGGAATCCAGTAGGTGGGGGGGGGGGGCCTGATCCCTGATCCGCATCTGGACAAAAATACCAAAAGTGTCCTCGCGTAAACAAGGACTCGCCTACGTAGTACGGATACGCATTTCAACGAGACCGGACTATACGAATTGCGCTGAAACGAGAACGTCATTTTACAATCGTCTCTGTGCGACGCATATCTCGTTCAACGTAAACTAAAAAAAACCGTGCGATAACAATGCCGTTCCGTTAACGAGCGACGCGGCGCACAAAGAGTTGTCATCGCAATAATGCTTACGGGGCAGATCCGCGTCCGGCGCACAGAATGATGTCGTGCGCGCGAACTCCGGTCCTCTTGTACAACAGGACAACGCGTTTGTTTTCGTTTTGTTTGGGCCCCGCTAATGAGAAGCACACACACGTCTTCAGGGCGGCCGGCACGCGCGTACTCGCTACGGGTCCCCGGCAAAAACAATGCGTTCCCGTGACCGGCTCGATCGCGCGTTTGATTTCCACATTTTAATTGGACGTCGGCAAACAAAAACATTCGCGTGATCCCTCGCGTTTCCTTTCTGTTTTTCATCGTCGTCCCGGTAAAACGTTCGACGGGCCCCGGCACCGCGCACCACTCGACCCGTGCGCGCAACAGTGTAATGCGAAAGGAAACGAAAAAACAAAAGATCACGCGCATAATAATTACACCGTTTTTAACGAGCCTGGTCGTCCCCGCAAGCGAATCCCGGCGTTATGAAAACAACGAAACGATCGCCACGAGATACGTGAGCATGGTAAATGTATATTCTCGATTTTACACGATAATATCGCAAGTATTTACCGTAAATAATATAAATAACACTGCGTACCTGTGCGCGTTCATCCGAGCGGATGAAAAAAGAAAAAACGGTCGAAATGGTACATACTAGTGCTCTTTTAGTATAAACATTGGCGAAGGATTGGCAAGGTCCGTAATAAATATTTTTATGAGAAAGATTTTGGTCCTGGTTTAAACCATAATCATTTAAGTTCGGTCGGTTCCGGCTCGTTTAAAATCCATCGGACGATGGTATTACATTTTGAAGACATTGTTCGTAGAAATAATAACACGTTATTATTATCGCGGGAATCAATATTTTATCACTACGCCGTTGTTTTATGCACTTTGTGTACATCTCATAGCTGTTCACATATTAATAATTATTATCGAACATATTTTCAACAACCACGGTAGCAATTATTCTCGTTATGGTGCGGACGACGTGGAAGGGATTGTATACAGCTGCCATGCAACGCCACTCGATAGGATTTCTATTGTGTACTTTTCTATGAACTACATACTAATCAGTTTTGTACAGTTTTGTAATGATCTACGGCAATTTAAATCCAAACCAATTATCAATCATGTGGTATAATTCAAAACTTTCACAGTATACGAAATTTTTTTGTAGTGCGTATCGTTTGTCCGCTTTATCGAACTATATTATATTTTCTGTCCATGCCAAAAGAAAAAAAAATTGTAATATGTCCTGCCCGGTTCACAGACTTTTACAGTCCAAAATCCGTTCGCTCGGATTGACGGTCCGGTCTCGGTCCGCTTTAATAAACTACTTTAAATTTTCGGTCCTTTGTTAACATTTTCAGTCCGGTTCCTAAAATTACGGACCAAGCATAGTATATTATACACACGATTTTTGGCGCCAAAGTTCACGTAATATTGTGCATTTAGGTACATCGAATTAACCGTAGGCAACGGCGTGTCATCCTTATCGGAAAAATGATTGAACCAGCAGTGTTGCGATGTACACGGTGTTGCCCCGTCAAGGAAAAAGTGTATTCGTTTGTTCTTGGGGCCGCGGCACATCTCCGCGAACGACTATTGCCCGCGACAGGACGTGTATTTTTATTTATTTATTATTATTATTATTATTATTATTATCATCGTTATTATTATTACTGTTTTCGGTTAGCGCGGCGGTCGGTTGAAAATTAATTATAATAGAGGGGAAAAAAATAAAATGACATTAAGCAACTCATTTTCTCTCGAAAATATTGTCCAACAGCAATAATAATCGCGCGCACGGCCAACGTAATAACATCGTGTAAGAGGCCATTTGTGTCATCGACGGATACAATTTATCGATGATTTTAGTACTGCAGGTTTCGAGCGGCGCGATGTGTTCCTCTCCGTCTGCTGCTCCTCCCTGTGTTCCCTATCACTATAATAGCTAGGGGTCACATAAATTGATGTTTACGGTCTTGTCGGCGACCGTGTGTGTATCGTCGTCTCCTATAATACTTATAGTTGTTTTTTTTTTTTAATCTTCCAAGACCCCATACCAATTTTTTTTTTTTTTTTTTTTTTTAATTTAATCGTATTTTTTACCTTTCGGTTTTAACCAAGACGCCGCCGCCGCCGCCGCCGATTTATTCGTCTCTGCGGAGGCCCGACCGAATATAAGTATGTGTATGTGTGTGTGTGTGTGTGCAATATTAACAACCGATACCCAACCCTCTCAATGCACTGTAATTCAAACGCCGTCTAGATAAACGATAACGGTTACCGCTTGTTTTACTGCACAGTTCGAAATTCTATCTCGGCCCCGATACTTTTTGTAATTTATTGTAATTTATTCATTATTATAATACGCATACAATATGATGCATACAATACGGCGAGTAAATAAACAAAGTAAATTTATTTTCTCCGACGTATTTGCATTTAATACGATTCACGTGTTCCAAACGGCCAAGAGAAAATACGACAGTATAATATGCATTCGAAATATTTGTCGCACGGTTGAAATAATATCAAGTCGAGCGCGTACATTTGTTTCGCCGGTCAAATCAAGCGATATTAAGCGTCGAGCGAAGCGTACCAAGTAATCATTATTACTATCGTACGTATTATCTTACACGGAAGTGTACCTACGAGACAACGAGAAAACGGTATTCTGTTGTTTTCGTCGGGAAATAAACAATTTATCCTCGAGCGTTAAATAATGGACGCATAATAACAACATGGCATGTAAAACAACGCTTGTGACGATTGATATATACCCTGCGCACGAAATGTTATATTGTTTTTTTTTTGATTTGCCGACACAACTAATCGTAACCGATTTGTCTTTGCCCGCACAGGTTCACATACTGTCGCATTTCATAATGAACGGAGTGTGCGTGCGGTGGAAAGGACGCATCGACTTGGACAAATTGGACGGGACCGGTTGCCTGGAGTTCGACGAGGAACGAGCAATGGTAGGCGTTGGTGAATGCCCTGCTCTACGAGCGTATTAGTATTTCGTATAACATTGTTCACGCGCTCCACGCGCGTACATTTATTTATACATATTTTTGAACCGTTGCGTATTTTACCGTCACGATTTCCCGTCGGAACCGTTAATAGAGCTGTTTGACACATTTAAATTATGGTCTCGTTACGTTCCGTAGAGAATAGATTTCGAAAACGCCGAGTTAATCTTCCAAGTTCGTTCGCGCCGCTCGTCGGTCCGTCTGTTGTCGGCGGTCGAAAATTCCGAACGCGCAGAGAAAAACGCGGTCCTCGCGCGTCGAAAACGGGTGACGACCGAACGGTTTGACCCGGGGTTACGGATACCACAACGATCGCGTTGTTTAAAAATACGCTTCGCCGTTTAGTAAGATAATAACAGTTCGCGATACGGCGCACGGGATCCTATCAGGGGCGGGTTTTATCACTCACCAAGGGAAGGGCCAACGGAGGTTCAAGGATTTAGTTAGTTGTTTTTTGAAATTTATGTAAAATTTTAAATCACATTGTTTTCGAGTCCCTCATAAGTAAGTCATTTTCTTTCACAATAGTTACATTATTGGTATGAATTTTAATTTGAAACTATTTTAAAAAGATAGGTATACACATATAATTAACAACAAAAATGAGCTATTTATTTTTAAAAAAATTGGATACCATATTCATCAATGACGACTGACGATATTTTATAATAATTATTTATACATCATAATATATATCATAATACTTGTCTTTGTAAAGTAGTTCGCTTAGTTCAAAAGGGGGGGGGCTAATACCCCTTTAGTCACTCCTTTAAATCCGCATCTGGATCCTATAACGTTTTCGAGAACCGAGTGATTGCAATAACTCGACCGCACCCGTACATACTACTCGTACTATATTCGTGGGAAATTTGAATAACCGATGCGTTAACAGCACGTGAAGCGAAACATTTTTACCATTTTGGGGCCGCCGTAATGCGTGGGTATATTAATCTACCGAAAATGCAGTACGTATTGCATACCATAAATATGCACTACTTGTGTGGACGTTTTAGGCAAGTTATAGTAGGCACTGTCAAAATCGTTAGTCGTCTCCTGGGCCAAAGTTTGTCGAAACTATTTTTAACAACAAATAAATCATCAAAATAAACAATAATAGCAAATAATAATAATAATAATAATAATAATAATAATAATAATAATAATAATAATAATAA